AATGAAAATGCACATTTATAACAAATTATTTAATAAAGATATTAAAGACATATAATAAAGAATATTATATTATCAGATATTATTCGAATTTTTGATCATATTTAAAATTTTATCATTATATAAAATTGTAATTTTTGTATTTTTAGAATGAAAATAAGAGTGTCTGCCCTATATTGCCTCATTAAAAAATAGAGAAATTTTGTGAGTCAGAGAGCTTCAGAATCTTCAGAAATGCAGATAAATGAAGTAATCTGCATTTATAAATGTGGTATTTGGTAGTGTTTGCATTATTATTAACAATTCTTTTAAAAACAAATATTAAATATTTTTTTATTAGCTTTTTAGGAGGAAGAATTTGAAAATAAGTCAAAAATTTTATTTCTAAATGAATTTAATTGAAAATTTCAACATTAAAATTTCACCTTTCCCGTAATAATATTATGTAAATTGCAAGTAAAGTTTTTAAAAAATAGAAACAATACCACACAGGTATTAATTGCAAAATTTTTAACATTTCATATTATTGGAATTAGTGCATAGACACGCCTTTTTTATGATTTGCAATTTGTAATTCAAATATTTTAAATATAACATTATGTAACAAGTAAGCATTTATTTTTTAAAACAAGTGTTTTGTAATAATCATGTATGCTTAAAATAATTTACATACTCTTGTATGACTTTAATTAAAATTTCGTATTATTTTAGTTGTAACTCTAAGAGGTTGTAATTAAGTGATTTATTTCAAATTTTCGTTTCTGGAAGCTATATACGCGCATTACTGTGTTTAAGATATTCTGCTAAAAATAAAATTATTAATTTCAAAATTTTATAAGTACTTGCAGTAGAAACAAATAAAATTAATGAAAACATAGAGTTGAAATTGGGTATACGGCAGTGATTCTAATTATAGTAAAGTTTCTCATTAGAATTTCTACAAATTTCCTCGATTTTTTTTAAAGAATATGCCAAAACAGCTTTGTTTTGTTTCTAAGAATTAAAATAAACACATAATTGCAGTTCTTTAAGAGCTGTTGTTCAAATTTTCTCCATTTTTTACAATTATAACAATAAAATAATAATATTAAACGTATGTCTGTATATAATTCAAAATAAATAAAATTTTTCAATGTTATTTAAAATTTTATCATTTATACCGGTAGTAATATTAAATATGCAATTATCTACATATATAATTACCTTTAATTATGTATAATTCTTAAACAAACCTGTAAATGTAGGTATATAAGATAAAGATTTATATTTTTAATATGACAATAATTGCATATATGATAACGAATAAAATTCTATACAGTAACTTTCGTTTAAGAAATAATCTAAGAAACGAATTGTATAAAAGTTTATTTTTTTCTTTATCATAAAATTTTATTTTCATATATATGTATGTATATTGAACTCTGCACCCTCTTGAATTATGGCATATTAATAAAATTTTATATATAACTAACTTTATCTGTATACAAGGTAGAAAAACTGTGCTACCTTATATTCGCACATAAGTGGGAAAGCTTTTTATGATAATTTTATATAATATGTAAATATAGGTGATAATAATATAATTAGTTAACTACACTTTTGTTATAATAATGCACATATCTTATAATTGATAAAAACTAGATTAATTGTATAACGAATGGAAATTCTGTTTAAAATTATTAACATATTTTGCAAAAATTTTATATTTTGCGAATATTTCTAGTGCACCGTTCTTAAGAAAGCATTATGACCCAAAATTTGAAAAAATAGACAAGATTTTAAAAAAAAATGGGGCCGAATTAAAAAATTCGGACAAATTAAATACAAAATAAAAGAACCAAATGCGAGCAAATTAAAAATTAGAAAAAAAACATCGATCAAATTTTAAAATTACAAAATTGGAATAATTTGGGTCATATCAGGCGGCAACACTATGATATGAATATTTAATGAAGAATAAAAACGATAAAATTAATTTAATTAAAAACGAGAAAAAAAATAGAGTTGACCTTGTCAACTCTGTGATACCCGTACGAATTTGTTATCCTATGTGCTAATAATTAATGTGCCTTAACTAACTATAGGGCAGACTATGACTTTAAGTTGCCGTATTACCATATTAATTTATGCAAAATTCCAGTACTATGTGTTTTTCAAAATACTGGTTGTGCCAAACTACTATTGAAGTTGTATGGCAGCTACCAGAAAGAGCCAAGGAATTTTAGCGAATTTTATCAAGCACATCGGCCCCACTAATATATTCACTTGTGTGAAATCTCAATATCACAGCTTTTATAGTTTCTAAGATAGCCAAATAACTTTTGAAGTAGTATGGCAGGTACTAGGAGGAGCCAAGTAATTTCAACGACTTTTATGAGACACGTTGGCCCTACTAATATATTCGTTTGTGTGAAATTTCAATACCATAGCTTTAATAGTTTCTGAAATATAGTCAAATAACTTTTGAAGTTATATGGCAGGTACCAGAAGGAGCCAAGTAATTTCAACGACTTTTATGAGACACATTGGCCCTACTAATATATTCGTTTGTGTGAAATTTCAATACCACAACTTTTATAGTTTCTGAGATATAGCCAAATAAATTTTGAAGTTGTATGGCAGCTACCCGAAACGGTACCCCGATCATGTCCAATTTAAATAGGGTTCTGGCACTTACTACAATAAATCATTTGTGAAAATTTGGTGAACTTAGCTCTATTAGTTTTTGAGTTATCGTTGGGACGGACGGACGGACGGACAGACAAAGCTAAATCAACTCAGAATTTGACGCTGATCAAAAACATACACTTGAGTCTATATCTAACACCGTTATTTCTTAGCGTTACAAACGGTAAGGCAAATTTAGTATACCCTTCGAACATACGTTCGTACGGGTATAATAATTATTTTATTATTGCCTTATTGAAAAGAACGTTAAATTTTTATGTTGAAAACCTATTCCTATAAGAATTGTGCTTAAAGCAGGAAGAGAATAATTCTTGCATTTAAATACAATTTTAAATCTAAATAACAATTGTTTATATACACATTAGGTATACATAATTATAATGTACATAACGTATATAATTTGTATAGAAGATCAAAAATGGAATACCTCCCTAGTAAGAAATTGTCGTTAAGTTAAAGTTGATTAGAAATATACAATGTGTGTAAAATGTATGAATTTTTTCGAACTAAATAGTAGCTATAGTTCTGCAAATTTGCTGCTGTACTTGTTTTTCTAAAAAAAATTACTTAATAAAAAATATTTGCTCTAATAATAATTCTTATTATCATTTAAAACCTTTTTCTATACTTTTAAAATTTTTTTTTGCACAATCATTATCTACTTTTGCTGTTTTTTTTTTCTCAGCTTTAAACGAAAGTTTTTATTATTCTTGATCAGCTGAGAAAGGCGACTTTAATAAAGTATAAATAGCGTATATATATATATACATATGTATGTACATAATTTTAATGTACAAAAAAATAATACTTGTATAGTAAGAAGTGTAGATTATTTTATTAATATTTTGAATTTGTAATTAATTTTAAAATTGAAATAAATTTAATTATTTAGATTTGAAATTTTATTGCAATCTTATTGAACTTTTAAATTTTTGCTTGTTATTTGATATTATTTTTTTTGATTTATACAGGGTTTTCGACTAAATTGTTTAAGAGAATTGAAAATTTACATGGAATTTTTATATAAATTAATAAATAAATCGCTGTAATTTATTTTTTTTTATTAAGCAAATAAAAATATATGCAAAAGTTAACCACGATTACATTTCAGGTGATCTATTCGAAGAGAACCATTTTCAAAACCATTTGTATTGGATATTTTCAGTGGAATATCATTAATTACCTGCTCAATCTTATTGAAAAGTTAAAATTTATATCAGATGATTAAACTGATTAAAAAATTTCATTTACAATCAAAGGAAAACATCAAACCACTACAACTTCGGGGCAGCCAATAACGGGCCTAAAATTGTTCTTAAATACACATTTATTATATTTTTGTTAAAACAATTACTGTAGATATAAATTGTTCGGAATGTAATGCTTGGACATTAGGTTCTACGGAATGAAATGGTTACCTAAACTAAATCAGTTTAATACTTTTATACCTTTAATGAATAACACTTTCAAGTATCTCAGCAAAAATGCAAAAAAAACCTTTTGTATTCAAATCGACTAAGAAATTTCTTATTACTAAATTTGTATACAGTGTAAATTAAATTTTTGTAAACTAAAGTAAGTTTTTTAATCTGTAATATCGGACATTCTTAGCATATTTTATAAGTGGAATTTTTTCATAAATTATATAAGAATTCGAAATTGTTGTGATCGTATCTTTAGCTGTACATATATAGGATTTGAACAAGTAATATAAACAGAAAGATGAGCTCTTATGCAGTGAAATAATATTGTAATCTAAAGAAACTCATAAGAAGGGAAGTTTTTCCTATTAATTTCTTATGAATGTTGTGTGGTAAGGCTAAAACAAAATGATCAGTGTAAGTTGTTTTTCAATTAAAACTAATTTATTGTCTGCAAATGATGCTTTATTCTTAAGAACTTTGATTTTTTTTTATTTATTTTAAAACTGGTATTGTGTGACTCTTCTTTGTGACTTAACACTAATTAAGTTTTAAGCTCTCCTTTGATAATACGAGTATGCTATATATTAGGCATTTGTTTAGCATGAAAAAAAAAATCAAGCCTATAAAATGTGATCTTCTTGTGGAAGGAAATCGAATGGGCCAATAAAATTTCAAATGTATATACGTTAATATTAATTTTTAATTAAATTGTAAATTTTCTGAAGCCTGGGTACAAGAACATTTGTTACAAGTCAGGGGTCAAGTAATATGAATATTTAAATGAAATTCTTGTTATCGTAAATAAAACTACGGTCATAGAAATAATAAAAACATTCTAATCATTTTTTATCAAAATTAAAAAAACAAATTTTAAATGATTTTATAAAATACTTGCGATCTTCTTCTTTTCTTCTTTACCCCCAAAATAAATTAATTTCTAAATATTTAATACAAGATCTTTGATATTCTTGTGCATTAATGTTTTTTTTTTGTTTTGGAATCCTTCTAATATAATTTTTTCTTTTTGAATTTTTTTTTTTCGGTTTGCAAGTAACCAAATTTTTTTAAAATTAAAAATTTATTTATTCTTACTTTTCTTTTATATTTTTAATTACTTTATTTATAAATTATTAATTTTTGGATTTTTTTTTTAATAATAGGTGTTTTACATATATAAATACAAAATAAATATTTTAAATGTAAACAAAAAAAAAATTGTGCGTTTTTTTGTGTTAATTTTTTTTTTTGTTGTTTAAAAGATAATTCACGCTTTTCTTATTTTAATAATTATTGCGATTAAATTGTTTATACAAAAAATTAAAAAAATTAAGAAAAAAAAACAAGTAAAATAATTATTTATTAACGGTATTTTTCGTTTTATTTTTCATTTTTATCTTGTTGTTGTTGTTTTTTTTCTTTTTTATGTACGACAAAAATGTTACACGAAATTATAGCGCAAATTGCGAATTAATTTTTTTTTTTTTAGTACACATAAATACTGTATTCTTGCGGTGTTTTATTATTATTTTTACGGTATCAGAACAAAACAAAAAAAAAAAATTAAACTGATTTTGTTTCTAATTTTTTTTTATTTTTTGTTATAATTTTTTTATATATTTTTAGAGTGTATTTGCATTTCATTTAAATTACGATTCTTTGATATTACATATATTGTGTGTAGGTATTTTAATTTTATTTTATATTTATTCCCGTATTTACTCGTAATTTTTTATTATTGTTATTATTTTTTGCGATGTTAACACATCAACCGTCTAACTAGGAATGAAGTTAACTTTTGACTGACTGGATGACTTCAATTCAATTCAAAATATGAGATGTTTAATTTTTTCTTATTCTTATTATTTTTATTATTTTTACTGTAGGAATTATCATTGTTTAGTATCATCACACACATACATACACACATAAACATTGTTATACACAGTTAATAATAATGTATTTTCATATCATATAGTGTGTACTAAATATTACAATAATTATAATATGAGAAAGGAGACTATAAGCAAAACAAAAAAAAAATAAAAAAATAAAAAATAGTAAAAAGAAAATTATTATTAATAATTTATGCAAGTTTTTCCCATTCAATGATTAAACGTTTTTAATCTACTTCATATGTAATTGTTGCGTTTGCACGTATGTGTGTGTTGGTATGAAAAATTTTTAGTACACAATATATTTATTATATAGTGTATAGTGTAAAAAACAAAAAGAGTGAGATGAAAATAATGAAAAGAATAAAAAAAAGAAAGAAAAAAAATGACAGAGGAAAATTGGAAAAATCAAAATATTAAGTGGTACTTTTAATTTTTATGATTTTTTTTTTTATTTGTGTTATAAAAAATCGAAAATTAAAAATTTTTTATCACATTTTGTATTGTTCACCCTACATACATACATATATAAATTTAAATGGGATTTAATAATTATGTGTGATTTTATTCTTAAATGAAATGAGACTAAATTTAGGATTTCATTGTAAGCGGCATTCAGTATTATACCTGTTATCAACAATAGATAGTGCTGTTATACTAACTTTTTCTCCTATTCAGTTTTCCTTAGCTTTATACAAATGTTAACAATAGTATAAGAATATAATAATTATTTTCATTTAAAATTATAATATTGATTCTTTGGGTTTTATACTAAATGATTGTTATGCAATAATTAATTGTTATATTTAAATTAAGACTCATTAATTTCTTCTACAAGTAAAAGAATTCAAGTAATATTGCATTTCAAAGTTCTGCTCAACTCTGTTTCACTTTGAAATTACGATAAAAAAACCTTAATTTTCAATACCGATTATTATTTGCCTTATAATAAATGTTATTTTTAGCATTTTTCCAAAAAAAATATTAAAAAGCTCTCAATAGTTTTAATTTGTCTGTCTGTCCGTCTTTCAGCGTGTCTGTTTACAAATCTTCAGATTATGTAAACGCTGAAAGGTAGGGGTGACCTTTTTATACCGCAGCATAATTTGTTGACCTCTAATTAAAATATATAATATTTGAATTGTCGTATGTCCAAATTTCTAAAAATGCAGAACGAAAAAATATAATTATTGTTCTTGATACTCTTGTTTACCGTTCAATTCAACCATTATATCAATGGGCTTTTTTCAACTTTTTTTCGCTAATCCTAAATATATGCAATAATTTTATATATAATTTTTTATATCACCGAAACTAACTTAAATAATGCAGTAGATTGCATTTAAAAGCAATTCTTTTGTTGAAGGAAAAAGTGCTTCTTTAGAAAACATCGATTTAACTTAAACATCGATTTAAGACGTACTATGTATTTAATAATTATAATATGTTTGATATATAATTCTCTTAATTCAATATTTAAAATAGTAAAATATATATTTTAAATTTATTTGTTACATAGTTCGACATACCTCTTAATATTTACCTAGATTTCATATAGCAAAAATGAATTTACGTTGATTACCGTATATATATAGAATTTTTGCAGATCTAGATTTCGTATTGATCGATTATATAGATATTTTATGTTCTTTTCATTACATATAATTTTCAACATAAATGAAAAGCGCAACAATCGCAATACAATCATTTTTACCTGATGGCATAATAGATCATATCATATACTCCCCATTTATGTATAAAAAATTACGTAACTTATAAGAAAAAAATAAAATAATAATAAAAAAACTATTAGATTGTAGTTACGTAATTCTAATTTTAAAAATCTTTAATCTGACCTATTTAATACTAAATACGATGCGGTTTTAGGTAAAAAAAGTAATCGAGAATTAAAATTAAAGATTAAAATATTACCAAATTTTTTGTAATTGTCATTATTTTTTAACTTAGAATAAATTAAATAAATTAATTACACCTACATTATGATTAATAAGCAATTCTTGATTTTAAGAGAATTGCAAGTAGGAGATGAAACATAAACAGCAACAGCTAATTGAATAATTGTATTTATTGCATTTATGTACATATATTTGTAGTATTCACAATTTATTACATTATTTTTACTTAACTATAACAGAGAAGTTAGGACATTAAAACGACAGTGCCAAACCAAGAAAATTTTCAGTATAATGATGAACTTCCTTTACAATATTTTAGTTACGTAATAATTTAGACCTTCTCAATAAAATATGTAGTTCTCGTTACTCACTTATTATACTCAAATTTCAACTTATAATTTGTTATACTAAGCACATAAGTGTCATAATCTTGACACTCATGCAGTAGGATAAAAATGTATTTTTCATAAAATCGGATTTGATATAGGAAAAATAAACTTAAAGTTAATATGCATATAAAAGTATGCCTGGCATACAAAATTATATTAAAAGTATTATACAATAATTTGGTATCATAATTCAAATGAGAGAAATTGATTTCAAGGTAGATTCTTGGTAATTTTGTTTATATAGTTGAATTTCGCTGCGTTTTGTAATTTAATAACAATTAACAAACATACATACGTGCTCGAAAAGATTTTGAAAACTTACAATTTTAATTCTTAATTAGATATACAAATTTTGCAATGTAATTATAAGAATATATTAATGTATGTACTCGTCTTTTATATTATGTAAAAAATTTAAAACATTTTCTGTTAATTTGGACAATATTTAAAACACAAATTTGGTTCTCTTACATCGAGCAATTTCTGTCTCAAATTACATGATTCTTGACATTCAAACTGCTGAAAATTTCCAAAATTGCAACAAAATCGCGTTTAATATAATCTAGGGAAATTATCAATTTATTCTCAAATAGATTGAGCCTGAGTCGAACATCTACCCCACATTCACACAGCACGGTGTTTTACGGTCCACCTTCAGGCTGAGCCGTTGAACTATATGAACATTCTTTTATTATAGTTACTCGTATTTACCATTGATTTTCTTGCAATATTTTATTCTTTATACTATGAATTGTATAAAATTAAATTTTCTTAAAGCTTCAAATCAGTTATTTCATATTCTCTATATCTTTTATAACATAGGCGTTGCAGTTAAATTTACGAAATTACTTATATTTAAATATAATAGTAATAATTATTAATTGGTTAAGTAATTGGTTAAGTAATATAACACTTTTATATCGTATAAAATATACAAATTTTTTTGCTAATTTGTTTTAAAGCTATTAAATTCTTTTTATTTTAAACATTGTTACTTAATAGCTTTGTAATACGACTATAATATGCCTTTAAAGAAAATGATCTAATGCAATTAATTTTCTTTTATATATAAATATAGATAAATAATAAATCATTGAAAGATGATAAATTTTATATGTACATGTAAATATAGGTACCACAATAGATTCTTAATCTCGGTATTACACTTTAATACAAATTCATTTATTGATCTGACAAATTTATCATGTCATAGCATAAAAATATGAGTTATACATATTGTATGTACATAAAATAATGGAATATTATAGATTGTATTTCAGCAGAAATCTAAGTGTAAGAAGGGTCTTCAATTACAATTAAAAATTACAATTATTGCTATTAAAATTTAAAAAAAAGAATTAAATAAAATTTATATAATTTTTATATTTGTATGCAGATAGGTATAACTGTTAAGGATTATATAACGTTATATAAAGTGTGAAAAAACATGTACATATGAGATATATTTGTTCAAAGATAATATTTACATATAGAAATGTTTGATGGCGCACATATACATATATTATGTGGTATATGTATATGATTATAATTTATTAGCTTATATGAATTACATTTACATTCTGATGATATTTGCAGTTTTCTGATAATGTAATAAATAATTTGTTAAACAGACAATGATACGCACAAGTATACATATTACAGTTAATGTTAAAAAATCTGCTATACTTGCATTCTATATGTGTATGTGATATGTATGTATATGCAAGTATATTTAGCCAGATATCATAAGAATTACTTATTTCATTTAATAATAAAAAATATTATGAAAAGAAAAAATTTATTACTGTATACCATTTAAAGCTTCATTTTTTATATTAAATGATCTACAAAAATGGTATAAATATGGATAATGTTAAAAAACATTTTCTGTCATCGCTTCTTGTGGCAAAATTAATTTTACCACAATGCATAATAATTGCATATGAATTATATTTATATACATATATATGTATGAATAATGTAAATGAAGAGCGCATTATTATCTGAGACACGAAAAAAAAACTATAGAGAAAGAATTCTGAATTCTATAAAGATGGTTTTAAATGTTTTTTGACGCCTGAATATTTTGAATAAATAAATTCGAATCAAACCAAATATTTTGTAAAATAGCACATTTCCAATTAAAAATTTATTTTTTTTAAATATTGCTCTATATATATGTATATGTTTATGGAACACGCTTATATGCACATCATTTTTTTGCAAAATTTTATGTTCATAAATATCAATGCAGTGCAATTAAAAAAGCTAAGATGAAACTAGTGAAAAATTTTGTGTCCATAATTTTTTTTGCATTGCAGTTAATTGTTATAAAAATTGGATGGAGACGAAATATTTTATTCATATAAAGGGACATGAGACAATACAAATTCTTATCATTGCTTTATATCGAATTAATTTGCATAATTATTGCACACATTTATGACTGAAAAGTTGAACCGTATTTATTTAGTAGAGATTTCATTTACCCTACGATTGAGAAAAAATTTAAAAAAAAACTTTCTTTTAGCTTAAAATTATTAATTGATGTCTACAAGCTACATAAATTTATGACTCCCACAGAAAGACT